TGAAGAAACTATAGCCTATCCACTTCCTCCGCAAAACAATGGCAGTGCTCCCTTTTCAGTACTAGCTGGGTTATTTGAGAAGTTATCAACAGAAAGAAAGCACGAACGGAGACGGCGACTTTTGGATGTCTGGTTCAACGTATGTTTTTGTCTACGAACAAAACCAGTCTTGACACGTCTGTGGCGCCAGCATTGGAGAGAAGAAATCGGGCATGATCTTTATCCCGTTCTCCGCCTGATCCTCCCGCAGGCACGTTTTCTGTCACTTTAGAAATTATTCAGGTAAGCTGAACGTGTGAGCAGAAAGATCGTGAGCGTGCTGTGTATGGCCTGAAGGAGAAGAATCTCGCCAAGACCTACATCAAACTGATCCCACTCGGCATAAGAGATCCAGATGCGATCCGCTTGCTCAACTGGAAGAAGCCTACCGAAAAAGATGTTTGTATCTTGTATTACGTTTGTCGAGCGCGTTTGTTGAGCTTTTCCTAGAAAAGCTCTGGTGACTTCCCCACAGTTTTGTACGAGGTCGTGGGCAAGCGATCCTCCGTCGTCGAGGGAAGCCTGACAATCTATGATTTGAATGAAATTCTGGATGACTTGTCCAAGAACATCGGCAAGCAGTACGCATGATGATTTTCGATAGGCTCTTTGGCTAACAATAGTACACAGTGACATTCAGTCCAGAATCCTGCAGCGTATTTACAATCGTGCTACTGCTGAGGAACAGCGGTGGATTGTACGTATAATTTTGAAAGGCATGTTTTCTTCCATCATGGCTTCAATCATGTGTCAACTTTTCAAGACATGGTTATTTCTGTGAAGGAAACCACCGTCTTTGGCGTGTTCCATCCGGATGCGCAAGATCTGTTCAACATCTGTTCGGACCTCAAGAAGGTTGCGTGGGAGCTATGGGATCCTTCAAGGAGGTTGAATGCCGAGGTATAAATTTCCCTATTCATTGAAGATTTCAGAGCTGATGTGACATAGGATAAATCCATCCAATTGTTCCGTGCATTTGCGCCGATGCTGTGCAAAAGACCGGCCCATAAGATTGAGGACTCGGTGAAGGAAATGCAAGGACATAAATTTATTATCGAAGAGAAACTTGATGGCGAGCGCATGCAGCTGCACAAGCGCGGAAATGAATACTTCTACTGTTCGAGGTAGGATTTGTCACGTGTACCAATGACCTGAGTTGACCCTTGATTTAGGAAAGGAAAAGATTATACTTACTTGTACGGACAGCATGTCGGGCAGGGCAGTTTAACTCCTTTTATCGACTCTGCGTTCGATGAGCGGATCGACGAGTTGAGTTTATCTCGGCGTTTCATTCGTTTGTAATTGAAGTTATGTTGCAGTATCATTCTCGATGGAGAAATGCTAGTCTGGGACCCTGTTTCTGAACGTAACTTGCCATTTGGTACCTTGAAGACAGCTGCACTTGGTCAGTGTCTCCAGTCAGTCATCTGTCTAAATGCTTATGATATCCCTCAGATAAATCAAAGAAGGAGCACAATCCTAGACCATGCTGTATGTGCGCACTATTCTAGATTTTGCAGCAACCCTTACTTCAATCTAGTTAAGGTTTTTGACCTCCTCTATCTCAATGGCATGTCCCTCCACCAGAAGTCACTCAAGTTCCGCAAACGCAACTTGCGCGCATGCATCAAAGAGGTTCCGGGCCGCATTGAATTCACCGCGGAGTTCGAAGGCAAGACCGCCAAAGATGTTCGGCAGAAGATGGACGAAGTGATGGCGTCAAGAGGGGAAGGCCTTGTGATCAAACACCCCGACTCCGAGTACATCTTAAACGGCAGAAACAAGGATTGGATCAAGGTTAAGCCAGAATATATGGTAAATAGGTCGAGGCGCCCCCTTACATTTACGCTCACAGTACTTTCAGGACAATATGGGCGAGACCGTGGACGTGTTAGTAGTCGGTGAGTCAGTAAATTTGCTGTCTTTACTCAGCATACAACCGCAATGTAGCTGGCAATTACGGCACTAGAAAACGTTCAGGAGGTGTCTCGACACTCATCTGCGCAGTCCTCGACGATCGGCGCCCGGAGGGTGACGAAGAACCGAAGTAAGTCTTGCAATAGATTCAGCGTCTTGTGTATAAACATTCCTGGATACTAGGTACAGCACCTTTGTCCGAGTGGGCACAGGTTTGTCATTTGCAGACTACATCTGGCTCAGACAAAAGCCTTGGAAAGTATGGGATCCAAAACATCCCCCAGAATTTCTACAAACTGCAAAAAAGGCATACGAAGACAAAGGCGATTTGTATCTGGAACCAGAGGAGTATGACCCACACTTTATCTGCTGGCACAGGCTGACGATATAATTGTCAGTTCGTTCATACTGAAGGTTAAGGCAGCTGAGATCACGACTTCAGGTATCAGGCAATCATTTTGAACGCGCTGTCTCGCTGATGTGCCATGTGAAATAGACCAATATCATTTGGGCGTTACTATGAGGTTTCCTCGAGCTTTGTCAATTCGCGACGACCTGTACATTGCAGACTGCATGACCGCATCAGGTGCATGCCTTTGTATTCCATCAGTACAAAGCTTAACCTGTTTTAGCTGTTCTGGAGAGTATGCGCTCCGAGCGTAAAAGAAAGATGGAAAGTGATGCCGGGTAACTGATCGTTGATTTTCTCATCGATACCCATGATAATCTTTAGTAGCATGTCCAAGAAGAAGCGAAAGACAACGGCAAAGAAGGTATATATGTTTAGTTTCGTGCTATCGTTGTCTGAGCATCTTTCAGGCTACTGTCCTACCACAATACCAAGGACCTAATCTACGTGCAGTCGAGATTGAGTCAGATCTATTTGAGGATATGAAATTCAGTGAGTCCTCCTTACTGCCTGGTGTTCGATCAACGGTGACTTTGATTGTAAGTGGTGTCGTCAGACCCAAAATCAAGAACAGGCAATCAAGACCGTCAGGAACTGATGAAATTGTAAGACAGGGTCATATCTGAAAAAATCATCTAGATCTGAGTTCCCCACAGGATCCATGCCAATGGGGGTAGCTGCGTGCAAGTCGTTACATCCAAACAGCCTGTTACAGTCATTTATGGAGGGACGGCTACGCGTGAGTATCTGTGCATTGATATTTCAACTACTCCGAGGGACTGATCACAATCTCGCAGCTTACGACATCAAGCTGTTGATTGACAAGGACAGTGTTGACATCATCAGGCCTCAGTGGGTCACGGATTGTATACACCGGGGAGAGCTAGTTCCTCTTAGAAAGAAGTAGGTGTTGCAGTACTCGTTTCTGCAAAGGATCACACCTGTTTTAGGTACTTCTTCCACGCCACTTTAGCACGTCAAGAATCCGACGATTATCATCAGCTGGACACTGACGAGGACCAAGAAATGACTGATGGAACTGTAGAGGAAGACGCCAGCCTGAACATATCAATCACCCCAGAGGGCTTTAAGCCGAAACTTGAAGAAACTGAGGACACTGATCCTGAACTTGCGGACTGGTTTCAAGTCGACACCAAGCCTGGCGTTTCAGAAGATAGTGAAACGGAGGATGAATCTGATGCGGATTCAAACAACGATGATGTCAAAGGGGAAGATGATGATGAGTGGTTCCAAGTGCCCCACAGTCCCGCTGTTAAGCCCCTTGATGAAAACGTGCGTGATTTTATTGTATGGCATAACCATCATTCACTAGTTATCCCGACAGTCGAACACCACATTTCATTCACAGTCACAGGTAAGGGTTTCTTCATTGATGCGTCGTCCTGTTACAATGACATCAGGACATGGCAATGGGGGAAGACGACCAAGCGAGGGAATACGATGCAACAGCAATATTCAGGCATCTGTAGGTCTCGTGTCTTCCAGGTTATCGGCTCTCACTGTCGGTGGTAGTTGCTTTTACCTTGACACGCCAGGCAATGCGCGGAGAAACGGCATGCCGGTGAAAACCAAGTATGAACAGGAGATCTCCACTATGTGAGCTTTCTCTTCAGGTACCAAGTATCGTTTCCCTGATATCAAACCTCGATACTCTAAGCTTCGACCAGGTTTCAAGAAGCATCCAGGAGAATGGCGGAAAGATAGTAGCACTCGACGATCCAAAACTCACGCATGTTGTCTTGGACAAGCGAGACGACTCACGACGATTGACGCTCATACAGCGTACCTCGAGGTAAGTGCTCATATACAATCTTATCATACACAACTGAGGCAAGTCTTAGACATAAACGACGCCGATTGGTGATATCCGATTACGTGACAGCTTGTTTAGAAGAAGAATCGTTACTTGATGAGGAAGGTGAGAAGTCTTAGTTGCTATCGGTCTTCAGGAATATTCTATGCTGAAATTGTCACTCTTAGATTTTGCTCCATAGTACTTATCACTCCTTCATTGCTTCCTTGATTGTACAATTCTTATTCAATGTGTGTTTCCTCAAAAATCTTATTGGGGTTGCCTTTTTACATCCTACACATCGAGTTAGGGGCTTAGTCATCGGGAAAACCTTCCTGGGGAATGGGTGCATTCCTACTGAGGCATGAGTGCTAAACTTGTGACCAATCTGTCTATGAATAATGAGGCAAACTGTTGACAGACAGACTGGTAAATCTGTGTTTGAATTTAGATGTTGAGTGGATTCTCACAGTAATGTGATGCTGGAGTAGGGGGTCCTAGGGCTGAGGAGAAGCAGAGAGCCTCCCAAGGGCAATTTTGAAGGATTAGTCATCTAGAATGAACATAGAGAGCACAGCATGTGAGCATAGACACACAACCACATACTAGAGTATAGTTGAGACACCTAGTACTACTCCAATGCATAAGCCTTTTTGGGCATAACAAAACCACATGGGCTTTTTGCTAAGTCCTTGCAAAGAGTCACTGTCTGTGATCAACTTTGACAACAGAACATTCCATCAGGAAAAACCCGAATGGCGGTAGCCCTGGTCACCAATATAATGCACTCCATAGCTACCATACTGACAGGTAGGCACCCGCCTAAATCTGTCGGTCGATGTACCCGATGTAGCTGACACGACGCGTACAGAGACCAACGTATATAACATTATCACGTCCAAAAACCTATAGTACCAGTATCCTACATACCTGTCTGTAGTAGCAGCAACTCTATGTAATGGCACTTGAGACGCAAAACATATCAAGGTCAATAAATTCGTTGAAATAGAAATTGCTTGCCATCTCGTAGACGTTTGCGCTCGTACAGCTGGGGTCTACCTTTTGGCCCATTTTCGGAACAAGGTGACATGGCCGAACAAGCTCGTCGATGTGTACGACTGCTCCATTCCGACGTAAGTGACGAGTCGAATGTGAAACTTGACGCAAACCTGAGAACTGGTCTGGCTCCCTGAATGGCGTGAACCATTCAACATAGGCAAGAGGTCGCGAGTATGAGCCGAACTGATGAGGCAGCGTGAAGATTACATGCACCTGCGCAATCCGAACAGCTATGACTGGGAGTCCATCACCGTACATTGTAAGTTAAAAAGCAATAACATACCTTCCAAAGTGTACAACTTTGATGCTCGGACACCATCAGTCAACAACGCCATGTCAAATCACACGGGAGAACCTGGCTTCCGTCCAGAAGGTGATGGAAGCACTTCAGGTGTTGCCCTCACCCGCAGACGCTTCGGTAACTCCAACACACGGGGGTTGGGGGGAATGATTATGACAGCTTGCCGAAAAACATCAAAACGGTCTTGATAACCGGGCACGATGTGATTGTGTGGCATGTACTTCCGTAAAAACGACTTGAAAGCAGGCAGAAAATCGATGGCGCCGTGCATGGTTTCAAGATGCTGGATAGATTGTCGTGGGTGTGGAGGTGTCTTCGCAAGAACGTGGACAATGTCTTGCGAAACCACTGGTATGAAGTCAAAGTCTTCCTCGGCATCAGAGTCGGAGTCATAGCCATATTCATGTTCAGTCTGAGTGCAATGTTCAGCGACCCACTCAAGGTAAGAGACCCGCCAGAAGATTGCTTCCTGGCGTTGAAGCCATAACGCCATTTGTTCCTCATAGTCACGCTTGTTGCTCACACGGTAAGCTTCTTTAGCGAAGTCGATGTGCAGGCACTCAGGAAGCTCGGTGTTGAATCCATCAGCAGCCCCGAACAATTTGATTGACTGGACGTAGTGAGACAATTGATGCAGCTTCGGAATGTTGAAATGATCGCGAACATCAAGTTCCTTCAACACATCCTCATGCGCATGAAATACTGTGAGTGCGTTTTCGAGACCATCCAGGGATTCGCTCGTATGTGTATGCAGTTGTGCATAATAGCAAAAGTCCAGTATGGCCCGTGCAACAACAACGACTCGACTGAAAACTGAAGTGGATCAAATACTTGAAAAATAGCACAAATAAAAACATACCTTGGTACTGCGCCAGCAATTAATGCAACAAAGATACGTTGCATCTCCTTGTGTTCCGTTCCTGTCCACTGTTTGACACTAGATATACCTTTCTTAAAATGACGAAGACCTGGGTAGTCGGGCATGGCCTTGAAGCGGGCATCGATTTCATCCTCGCCCGCAATGTCGAGACACCACTTCACAAGGTGGTCTTTGAAGACTCCTTTGTGCAGCTGGTGGAGGAGGTCTGGTGTGAAAGCTGTGAAGATGTTGGTGTGGGGTAAATTGGCCCAGAATGGCCTATACACGGCGCACAGCCCATCCTCGTCGAATTCTACAGGGTGCCGACCATTCCTCCGTCTCTCTAGTGTCTCTTTTGTTGACTCCGGGTCCCGCATCAACGAGTTTAGTGGGTTGCCCCGCTCATCAGCCGCAACCAAACACTTAGGGCAACGATTCTCCTTACAGCATGCAACAAGGCACTGTTCAGGGAAATCTGCGACATATGCAGCCAGTATGGGGTACACTCGCCGAATGAAGGAGTCAGCACACACCATTTCCACACCATCCCGACCAGCTGCAATGAGAGGTTCCAGCAGCAGAGACAAACAGTGATGAAAAAGTCGGTATCCAGCCAGGGAATGTGTGTCAGAGGTGAAGCAGTCGAGTTTTGTGGCTGGTAGGTACCCAATGAGGATTGTTGCCTGGCCAGATGTTTGTTGTCGCTTTTCTTTTGCGATGTTGCCGATTGATAGGTAAACGGGCCAAGCAGATTTGTCGCCTTGAAATTGTGATAACAATGTCTTGTCAGAGGCCAGAATAATAGGTGCCAAGGTTGCTCCTTCGGGCAGTTCTTTCTGATCTGGCGGCAACTTAGATCACGGCGCTACTCTCATTTCAAAATCAATGTTCTACTCACCTGCTTGTCCCACCACCAATCAGCCGTCCACATGTCATCTATGAGCCGTTCACTACCTCCTTTGTCCTTGTATGCTCGTGATGGTGCGTATGCCATATGGTTTTTGAATGACGGATTCCCAATAAGATCTTTGACACACTCTACAGGATCTCGCATCCAGATTTCAACCTCTTCACTCAATGACCGCCCATCCTCGTCTTCCTGATTTCCTTGCACCATCACTTTCTTGCAACTCCATGAAGTGCCGTGCGGGAGCTCATCCACCCTCTTGAGGAATGTCCGATTGTTGTGAAATGATGGCTTCGTTCGATTTTTGGTCTGTTGTGTCTCATTTTATAGTTTTCTTCATAATATTCAACCAAATACTCACTATGGGTAATTTCAGATATTCATCTGTTCATGTCTGACCAAGATTTTTGATCATCCATTCGGCTAGTCCCCACTCTTCCTCGTCAGCGAAAGGTGCCCAGACATCCTCGCCCTCATCCTCCTTGTGCTGACAATAGCTTTCAAACACAGTCTTTCCCTCTTCTATTGGCCGGCCAGCATTAGGGTAGCTTTCAAAAAAGCGCCTGTTATATGTGCCATCTTTGTCTTTGACTTCCTCAACAGTTACACGGCGAATTTTCGAAGTGGCATCGTCCAGATCAGGAGGCGAGTGTGTGCGACGAAGGGGGGAAAATGAGTCTGTGATTTCACCGAGCATATGATCAGGTGCAAATTCCCTTTCATTATCATGTGTATTCGAGTCGTCAATCACATCAGCTACAGCATCTGTTTCTGCGATTAAGGCTTCCCACTCCTTTCTGCATTGAGGGTGCCCAAGAATGTGTCTTTTGACACCTCCAACGGTCGGGATGTCCTTGCCGCAGAAGCCACAGTGGTGAGACATGGTAAGGGTGGTAAGGGTAAGAGATATCACAGTTTCGCATTTTCGGGCTTGCTCGGACTCTCAGACTTTTGTTTGGATTGGCAATAGGCAAGTTTTGATTCAGTTTCGCTTTTTTGGGCTATTTTATGCTAAACTAATTTAGTGATTCCGAGTGCCACAAGGTGCACCTCCGAGCCCCTTCAGTGACAAATTCTGTATTATATGGGCCACCCGACCTCCATAATATCCCGTATGAGACGGGCCAGCTGATCATGGGCCCATGTTGTGTATATTCTCGATGATGACGGATGGGCCGGGACACATATTATTTCCGATGGAGACGGGTGGGCCCATGTATGCCAATGATATATATATCCTTAATGTTGACGGATGGGCCGGGGGAATATGATCATTCATGGAGATGGGTGGGCCCATCTGGGTAATATGTAGAGTAGGATATTATAGACAGCTGGGCTGAAGAGAGATGTAAGGCAAATATTGTTATATAGACGGGCGGGCCGACGTGGGTGTATTACATATATGGGTGGGCCGAGGTAGGGAAATATTACATAGATGGGTGGGCTGATGTAGGGTGTATTACATATACAGGTGGGCCGACGTGGAATGTATTACATATACGGGTGGGCCGACGAAAGGGATATCAAATAGACCGGTGGGCCGAGGGTGCTATAAAATATTTATTACATAGACAGGTGGGCTGAGGTGGGGTATAATTATATAGACGGGTGGGCCGATGTAGGATGTATTATATAGACGGGTGGGCCAACATAGGATGTATTACATAGATGGGTTGGCTGACGTGGGGGATAATACATAGACGGGCGGGCCGACGGGGGTGTATTACATATATGGGTGAGCCTAGATATGTTCCATCAAGACATACAGCTGATGTAGCCATCAGCGAATCAAACACATAGGATACATGTACACTATGAGTGCATATACCTACCATCAACCACCAAATCTAAACCCCTAAGCACAAAAACATGAATCAATCATGTGTGGCATTGACCAATAATCCAGGACTGAAGTGGAAAAACCCCACACCTGAACCCTGGTGTGCAACAAATCCTATTTCTAAGCATGGACACCAGAAGCACAACACTCACAAAAATATATATGTCAAATTTTCAGTGCCAAACCCCAAACCGAGATGTACCAACCCCCAAACCACGAACCCCGAACCCCGAAACCCGAGACTGCCGGGTCTCAGGTATTGAGTGTCCGGAACTCGGAACTTGGGAGAATTTGGGGAGATCAATACAATTTAATTTACAATCGAGTTGATTGACAACACATTGACTTACCCATGTTTGCAATATATTTTTGTTTAGACATACCGAGTTCCGAGTTCCAGACACCCGAACCCCGAAACCCGAGACTGCCGGGTTTCGGGTGTCGGGTGTCCGGAACTCGGAACTTGGGAAAATTTGGGGAGATCAATACAATTTGATTCACAATCAAGTTGATTGACAAACACATTGACTTAACTATGTTTGCAATATTTTTTTTTTTAGACATACCGAGTTCTGAGTTCTGGACCCCCGAACCCCGAAACCTGAGACTGCCGGGTCTCAGGTATCGGGTGTCCGGAACTCGGTATGTCTAAACAAAAATATATTGCAAACATAGTTAAGTCAATGTGTTTGTCAATCAACTTGATTGTGAATCAAATTGTATTGATCTCCCCAAATTTTCCCAAGTTCCGAGTTCCGGACACCCGACACCCGAAACCCGGCAGTCTCGGGCCTCGGGTATCGGGTGTCCGGAACTCGGAACTCGGTATGTCTAAACAAAAATATATTGCAAACATGATTAAGTCAATGTGTTGTCAATTAACTCGATTGTAAATTAAATTGTATTGATCTCCCCAAATTTTCCCCGAGTTCCGAGTTCTGGACACCCGATACCCGAGACTGCCGGGTTTCGGGTGTCGGGTGTCCAGAACTTGGAACTTGGGAAAATTTGGGGAGATCAATACAATTTGATTCACAATTGAGTTGATTGACAAACACATTGACTTACCCATGTTTGAAATATATTTTTGTTTACACATACCGAGTTCTGAGTTCTGGACCCCCCAACCCCAAAACCTGAGACCCAGCAGTCCACAATTCTGGGGTTCAGGGGTTGGTAAAATGTGTATGAATATATGAAAGGTTGAATGAAACATTTTTGAAAGATGTCTCATATCAAATGTTAAGTCCCGAGTTTTGAATTTCGGGTTTCAAGACTCCAGGTTTCGGGACTCGGCACTCCCGAAATCCGGAAGTTGAAACTCGGGATTTGACATTTGATATGAGACATCTTTCAAAAATGTTTCATTCAACCTTTCATATATTCATACACATTTTACCAACCCCCGAACCCCAGAATTGTGGACTGCTGGGTCTCGGGTTTCAGGGTTCGGAGGTCCGGAACCCGGAACCCGGAACTCAGTATGTGTAAACAAAAATATATTTCAAACATGGGTAAGTCAATGTGTTTGCCAATCAACTCAATTGTAAATCAAATTTTATTGATCTCCCCAAATCTCCCCAAGTTCCGAGTGCCGGGACCCCCGAACCCCAAAACCCGAGACTGCCGGGTCTCGGGGTTCGGGGGTCCGGAACTCGGAACTCGGTATGTAGAACAAAAATATATTTTAAACATGGGTAAATCAAATTGTATTGATCTCCCCAAATTTCCCGAGTTCCGAGTTCCGAGTTCCAGGACCCCCGAACCCCGAGACCTGGCAGTCCACAATTTCGGGGTTCAGGGGTTGGTAAAATGTGTATGGATATATGAAAGGTTGATTGAAACATTTCTGAAAGATGTCTCATATCAAATGTCAAGTCTCGAGTTTTGATTTCCGGTGTAGAAACAACAATACTGAGAGGAACAAAGAAATGCTCCTGACTGTATCTAAAAAGTTGTAGGTCGTGCGTTGCCTAGTCTGCGATACTTGAGATGGCAAGTGCATTCGACCCTAAAGGGGAAGCAGGTGCAGCGGAGATCTAGAGGTACGCGCTTCAGCGAAGCGCGAGAAAGCGCAGGTGCGCGCAAGGTACGAAGGCGCGGGAACGCGTGCGCGTATAAGCGGAAATAAGAGAGACTAAACTTATGTGAAGATATAAGCAAGATAAAGGATGTGAGATGTGTTGTGCTAATGAATAGATTTCTACTGCGACTTTCTAAGTAGTAAGTACTAGGTAAAGTTGGGTGAAAAGTAAGGTCAATAATAGTATGTACTGCTGGCGCTTATATAGCGCGCCTAAGCGCGCTCATGCGGAGCTGAAGCGCTACCGAGTAGGTATGTAAAAATATATATGAGTGAGAAACTATGATAAAAATAAAGGTGGAACTATGCTAATAAAGGAAATGGAAATATACGCACTAGGGAGCTTGGTGGACAGTGGATGGATGCATCTGGATGGCTGGCGCTATAGGGCGCGCAAGCGCGGGAACGCGCGCGCGCGTATACATCGTGAAGCGCGGGAATGGTGCGCGCATGGCGCGCGTTGCGCGGGAAAGCTGCGCGTCATATAGGAATCACTGTGGATGGTACACAGAGTGATGCTGCGAGTTGGTGCTGTATACTCCCTAGTGTAAAGCGCCATATCACACTATGAGATGCACGAGTCTCTACACCGGGTTTCAGGACTCCGGGTTTCGGGACTCCGGGCTTCGGGACTCAGCACTCTTGAAACCCGGAAATCGAAACTTGGGACTTGACATTTGATATGAGACATCTTTTAAAATGTTTAAACCAACCCTTCATATATCCATACACATTTTACCAACCCCCAAACTCCGAAATTGTGGACTGCCAGGTTTCGGGGGTCCGGGGGTCCCGGAACTCGGAACTCGGAATTTGGTATGTAAGACAACAAAAATATCTTTCAGGGTTCAGGGGTTAGTGAAATGTTTATAGATATACGTAGATTAATTCAAACATGTCTGAAAAATTTCGTTCATCTCAAATGTCAAATCCTGAGTTCTGGACTTCGGGACTCGGCACCCGGCAGTCAGGGTTGGGGGTTCGGCACTGAAAATTTGACATTCGGGTGTTCAGGTTTCGGGTGATATCTAAATCAACAACTTCGAGTTCTGCCAAAGCATGAAACTTGAAACCCAGTGTGCAACATGTTGATTTTTCATTTATATCACACAAATCATCGAGTTCCGAGTGCCAAGGGCTGAGACCCAAAGCCTGAGACCTGAAAATATGTACACAACATGTCCATTTTTCACTCACTGCACAAATCACCGAGTTTCGAGTGCCAAAGCGTGAAACTTGAAACCCAGTGTGCAACATGTCCATTTTTCATGTACATTACACAATTCATTGAGTTCCGAGTGCCGAGGGCTGAAACCCGAACCCCGAGACCTGAAAATATGTATGCAACATTTCCATTTTTCACTTGTTGCACAAATCACCGAGTTTCAAGTGCCGAAACCCGAAACTCAAAACCCGGTGTGCAACATGTTCATTGTTCATTTACATTACACAGATCATTGAGTGCCAAGGGCAGAATCCTAAAACCCGAAGCCCAAAAACATGTATGCCACATGCCCATCTACTCATTGCACAAATCACCAAGTGTTGAGTGCCGAAACCCGAAACCCGGTACTTCAAATCAGTAGTCGGGTACTTGGTACTTGGTTCTGATACTTGGTACCCAAGAATCAGTAGTCAGGTACTTGGTACTTGGTTCTAATTCTTGGTACCTGGGAATCAATAGTTGGGTACTCCAGCCAATAGTCCCGAGTCCCGAGTACTGATATTTGATATTCGGTAGTCAGGTTTGGAACTTGGGTCTTGGTTTGGTTAT